TATCCGCGCGGAGGGAGCAGCGCGCTCCCTTTGACGGCGGGCTGGCGGCGCTGGGTCGTCGGCAGGGAGTGGGGTGTGCTGCGGTACTGCGGTTCTGAGGCCGTTACTCCGGCTCTTCTCGAGAGGGCGGAGGAGGAGGCTGGATCGCGGCGGTGATTTTGTGCCAGGGCTTCCCGAGGCGCCCTGAAAGGGCTGTCGGGGCCCGAGAGCCTTGCGGATAGGGACGCACCTCGGAACCTCCAGCCTCCGGGAGGGGACGGGGGCCGGGGGCGAGGCTTGGCGTGTGCTCGGGGGGAAGGGGCGAGCCCTGCCTGGCGGTGGTGAGGGGCTGCGGGCAGGGAGCCGGGCGGCTCCGGGCGGCTCTGTGCCCACTGGTGAGAGGAACGTGTGGAGCGGGACGCAGAGGTCTAGCCCGGCGGAGCCTCGACGCGGGCTTCCTTTAATCCCTCCCTGGATCAATTGACGGGGGGTAGTTTTGCCGGTCCGCTTCCTCCAGGAGCTGGGCAACCTTGACGGGCTTTTTGTCTCGCTGTTCCAGCCCCCTTTCCCTTCCTCCTCCTCCAGATAGATGCCTTTTCTCTGCTCCTCCTCGCCGGGTACGGACATTTCCAGCGCAAGCTACCGCTCGTGGGGGCTGTGGAAGGCACTTCACGGGATTTGGGCTCTTGTCCCTCGGGGGTTTTTGAGGAGGGAGAGTTTTACGTCCTCCTCTATGGGATTTTCCTAGTTTGTCGAAATGGACTTTCATTGATTTCGTCAATGTTTAGTGACTAATTCCCTAGGCGTGTTTTTGTAGTTCCTTTTCCCCTCCAAACATATAATCTGTAAAATGGAGAACGAAATTTTTACTCCCCTCCTGGAGCAGTTCATGACCAGCCCCTTGGTCACTTGGGTAAGTAGACGTCCTTTTTTGTATATTTTATTGCTTTTTTTTTTTTCCTGTGGCTTCAGAGATGGAGGTGGGCGTTCACGTCTCGATCCTTATGTTCTAGGTTAAAACGTTTGGACCTCTGGCTGCTGGAAATGGGACCAACCTGGATGAATATGTGGCTTTGGTAGATGGAGTATTCTTGAACCAGGTCATGCTCCAAATGTAAGTGGTTTCTTCTTCTCTAAGTAACTTGTTTTGTTTGAAAAATAACATACTGTTTACCTAGGCGCTTTATATTTTAAGCCCCTAATTTGGTTCTTTGGCCAGAAAAATTCTGGTGATTTAATAATTAAGTCTTGAGATAATCTTTTGAGTCTAGCCCATTTATCACAACCCAGTAATAACTTTAATTTTTGTTTGATTCTGTCAACCTTGTTATTGTCACTTACTGTTGTCAGTGCTAAAATCCAAACCGCATTGTATTGGCTTTAATAATTTGGTAAAATAAGAGGGGTGGGGGTGGAGAAGAGAATGTAGTTTTCCCAAAGGCGAAAAAAAGGTCCTTCTATGAAGTTATGTGCATTTAGTGGAGAAATAGTCCTTCTTAACCTTAATGTGTAAGAATAAATTACTCAAAAATTGAAACTGGTGAAGTAGTAATAGATTTCAGAAGAGAATTTCAAACAGTTGTGATTGGTGAGGCGGACTGTTGCTGTAGCAAATAATTTAAATATGCCTATAATAAGTAAGTCTGTTTAGATGACTTACTGTGTGAATTGTTAGACTGCTGGATATTTAGGGAGTCCCTTAAAGGTATTTTTAGTGGTTTTTAAATGCAAATAACAAGTCTTGACAACTAGATGGTTTACTTGGCAAATCTTTTCTTATGTTTACAATATTGAATTTGTATTAAGTAAGAATATATTTTGGAGATGGAACTTGAAACTTGAATATTTTAAAGCATTAGCACTGGCTCGGTTGGGAAATAAAAACTATTTTTAGCATTGTAGATATTGTAGCATATAGATTTCTAAGAACACATGTAGGTTATCAAACTGAATATTACAGTAGTGTCTAAAGTGTATTTAGCTTTATTTCTCTTGAATAGAATCTGATTGCAAGAACAGTTTGCAGCTTTTGAGTCAGACATTCCTCTTTATATAGGTAGGAAATTAGTGCATTATAAATACTTGTCACTAAAGTACTGCTCTGATAACTTTACATATAAAATTTCAATTCTATATTTTATTAGAAATTATTTTCCTGTTTAAAAGAGGTAGAAGGCAAGCTTAGGGTGGTGGCACATACCTATAATTCCAACATTTGGGAGGCAGAGGCAGAAGGATTGCCATGAGTACAAGTAGAGGCCAGCCCAAACCACAGAGTGAATTCAAGGGCAACCTGAACTATATAGTGAGACCCTGTCTGAAAAAAAAAGAATAGCGGTCAAAGCAATAAGTAATTGTTCCAATGTTAACTTCTCTGTGTGTTCAGAGATTTGTAGTTTGGATGTATAGAGATTCATGTATTGTTCATAGTATGTGTGTTGATTCTCTACAGGGAAGTATTATTTTTTCTAAAAATATTTTTTGTATAGACCCCAAAAAATATGTTATCAAATGTGTTCGTATGTTTTTCTTAAAAAAGGAAAAAAATAGGTATTATTTCCAGGATTAGCTAATATATTTTAGCAGCTACCTCATAGAATTAGTTTTTCTGTGAACTAGCCTATTTTCTAAGCAAAATGGTAGAATAAACTGACTACTATTTTAGGGAATACACTATCAAAAGAAACCATTATGATAGATCCTCAGAACTTTCCCCCCATGTCACTTGCATATTTTCAGACAAGAAATCTTGAATTTGTGTGCTGAATCTTTAAAAAAAGAGATGTATTCACAAAAATAGGGAAATATGTTAGCTTTCCACATTAATGGCTTTTATTTGTAAAGCTCTTCAAAGAATATTGTTTGTTTGACTCTTAGTAGCTAACTAAGGTACTGAAAACAAGCATGTTAGTTTTCACTTTGAGTAAATTTTTATATTTCTAAAAATATGTATTTTGAAAATAATGGTGTTCCAAAATAATGGTTGCCAGGTTGTTGGGTTTTTTGGGGAAGACTAGTTGCTTTCTAAACCTCAGAGCTACTTCTGTGTTTTCAGTTCCACCTCTCAGTTTCTTTAAAAGTTTTTCAGTGTCCTAATTCTGTTGCAGATGACCTATATGAAATTAAAGAAATTAATTAAGAAAAAGAAGAGAAGTACATTTTAATTTTTTAAAATACTTGCTAAAATAAGATAAGTACAAATGACAGGCAATAAAACAATGTTAAAAGACATATTTTTGCTAATTTTAAAATCATTAGGATTTTTATTAATTGTGATTTACTCAGATGACTCTGTGATTTCATGTACTTTATTAAAGTGTCAGTTGAAACTGTACCCATTCAGTTAACCTAAACGTTAGTCTAATTTCTAGATTATATTTGGTTATAAAATTTGTGACCAAGAACCTTTTGGTTTTCAATTAGCAATAATCGCACCTTGGGTAAACCTCATTGGCTACGATACTGCCACTGTGCAAAGCTCCAAGAACCTTTTGGAATTGAAAGTGTTTGTATATTTCTCATGTTCCTTGAGCGTAGTTTGTTGAACTTGGATCTGTGGGTTTATAGTTTTTATGAAAATTTCAATTTTTAAGCCATTTTTCTTTAAATATGTATATTATATATATTCATTCCTCTTTTCTCCTTTTAGAAGTTCAGTTACACGTATGTTAGGTTGCTTGACATTATCATACTGATGTTCATTTCGGTTGCATTATTTTTTTCCTTCTGTAGTTCATTTTACAGTCTATTGTGATATCTAAATTTTTAAATCTTTTCTTCTGTCATGTTTAATCAGCTCTAAATCCTATCCAGCATATTTTTCATTCAGACATGATAGTTTAATCTCTAGAAATTTATTCTTACCTTCCTTTTTATGTTTTTTGTTTCTTGAACATGCAGAATATAGCCATAAATGACTTAATGTTCATGTCTGCTAATTCTGGGTCATTTTTTGAATTGATTTTGATTGATTGATTTTTCTTCTCATTATTGATTGTGTGTTCTTGCTTTTGCATGTCTGGTAATTTTTAATTGATGCTAAACATTTAAATCTTAACTTGTATATTGGATATTTTTTATTCATTTAACTATAAACAGCTTGAGCTTGTGCTGGGATGCAGTTAAATTAGTTGGAAACTAATTAGTTTGATCTCTTCAGGACTTGTCTTTAAGTTTTGTTAGTCACTATCATTTTGTTGCACAATTGAGACAGAACTCAAGATCTTTAGTACTCTCGCTAGTGGAAGCAGGAGCTATTTGGTATTTTTAATCCTCTTTGGTGCTTCTTTGTCCTTGGATAGTTTTCTCACACTTAGGTATTGATGAGTACTGAGCTGAAGACTTGAGGGATACTTTCTGCAGATATTTCCCTTTGTGTAGTTCTCTCCTCTTTGGTACTCTGCTTTGTATGCTCTAGAAACCTTGCCTCCAGACTCAGTTCCATCTCTCAGCTCAGGAAGACCACTTAGCACAGTTTAAATTCTCTTTTCTCTCTTCTGTAGCTTTGGGAACTCTTTCAAGGATATAAGCTGGGACAATTTTTGGGTTTAGGTTTATTGCCCATCTACCAGGTGTCATTATCCTTGGTTGCTTGATGTACAATATCTTGGAAAACGTTTCATGTGTCTTTTTTCCCAGTTATTTCAGATGAAAGGGTGAATCTGTTCCCTTTGTGTCCATTTTGTCCAGAGTACAAATCTGTTTATATACATCTAATTAATTTTTGCCTTGCTAGCCGTATATTACAGATATTAGATGTGGCAGAGATTTTCATTATAGGAACATTACTATAGAATTTTTTATGTAAAGTAGTTATTAAGAATAAGAATATTGATTCATTTAGTCACTTTGGGGTTGGCATTTTGGACCTAGACTCCAAAAATAAAAAACTGACTTCTTCATGACATTATTTATTGACCCTGTTTTACAGTTTTGGAGTCTGTTCTCTAACTTGGGATTCACTATATGCAAAGATGAAGCTTGATTTCATTGAGTAGCCTCTGTAAGAAGCTGTAAGAGCTTGTGACATGGCATCAGTCATCTTTAATGGGAAAAGGGGGAAGCTATTTAGAGATCTAGAATGATAGGCCAGCTCCACTGTATGCTGCAGGGCATTTTTCTACTTCTATCAAATGAAATCATTTTTTTTTCCTCAGTGCCTAGTTATTAGTCATAGGGCTTGGTGTCAGTGAGCAGAAATAATCATTTTTTGTTGGAGAAGTCATTTTGTTCTGTTACCAATGTTGAATATTACTTGCTGTGAGTTTTTAAGAAATTTATGACATAGTAGTTAATTTCATAATCTTAAAATTTAAGAAGTATGCTATTCATATTATCTAAGTTGTTGAAAATATAGGTATGTTAGGTTTTAACTACTGAGAAAATTGTTAATAGCATGAAACAATATTTGGAATTACTTTTTGCAATTCAACCTGCTTACCTATAGAGATTTATATTTAGAATACCTGGTTGTTAAAATAAATTTCTGTGGCTTTTCTTTTAGACTTGAGTTTGAAGTTACTATGAAAATTATTTTTTATTTTGTTTTCAATTTTATTTATTTATTTATTTGTGGTGCTGGGGATCAAACCAAGAGCCTTGAGTATGCTAGACAAACACTCTACTACTGAGCTATATTCCCAGCCTGAAAATTCCTTTTTAATTAATGCCCTGACACCTAGTCATGCCAACTTCTACTTATTTCCTGATACTCAACTTGATAAAGTGTATTAAAGGGACTGGGGATTTAGCTCAGTGGTTCTGGTGCCTGCCTTGCAAGCACAAGGACCTGAGTTCAATTCCCAGTACCAAAAATAAATAAATAAATAAAGTGTATTAAAGAAGCCATTTGTTTAAGAGGCAGTTGGCTGAGAAATGTTCTTTTGTCCTATCAAATCTTAAGATTTCAAAAGTAAACTGAAGCTGGGCATAGTGGTGCATGCCTGTAATCCCAGCATTCAGCAGTCTGAGGCAGGAGGAACTCCTTGAGTTTGAGGCCAGCCTAAGCTCTGTAGTGAGTTCAAGGCCAGCCTAAACTGCATAACCCTGTTTCAAGAAAAAGGGCTTATGACTAAATTGGGCTTATGACTCTCTAATATAAAATGACATATAAAA